TTCATGGCGGGACCACGATGAGCGCGATGAGATGAAACCTCCGAGACGGCCCCGTCACGACGCGCCTGGGAAAAGCGAGGGCACTCGCCCTAGGAGAGGGCTTCTCCGATGATCGGCGATGTCACCGGCTGCCCAGAGTGAGGTAAACCTAGACACCGGCTCTAGATACCATGTTAGGAGTGAAGAATGAACTCAATGCATTCCGGTGGGCTTCAGCCCAAACTTGTACATGGGCATATATGCATAGAAGCCCTTACACAAAGAGGAAATAGCAAAGACACCTATACATCTATATCTAACAGAAACATCAATGTTTCAATCAATAAATGAAAATACAAAATTAAATTAGCAGCCCATCTTACATAGATACACTGCTTCAATTCCAACCATTATATTGACGCACATTCTTGAATTATTCATACAGGAACAAAGCATCACTCTAATTCTAGCGTAGAATATTCTCAGATACCCTGAAGATATTTCATATTTATGGCACAGGCACATGCAGGTTAGTTGTTTGTTCCATTCCCTTGATGCTCAAACAATGTTACTTTAAGGTTAGATTTTGAGAAAGAACTACTGAATCCTTAACTTTTTGAGGAATCTTTCATCAATGGTTGTGAATGTCTGTCTTTATCTAAGAGCTCTATAGTTTTAGTCTTTCAGTACTACCATGCTCCATTCTATGATACATGGTCTTTTAGTAATGATCAAATTGTTCTATTTTGTTGGAAAAATCAAGATTTATAATATGCAAAACAATTATTTAATGAAACAATTATATAATGCTATAGTATAATGGCTTCGTTTAAAAGTATATGTGGAGCCTAAAATTTGAACGTATATGGTTTTAAAATTATAATGTTGTAGTATAATGGCTTAATTTAAAAGGGAAAAAAGTCAGCTGCCTTATAGTATGGATTTCTTCCTCCTATTTCATATTTAACTATTTATAATATTGATTGTGCTGCTGCTGCCTGTAGAACACCCCTTTTTTTTACTATTGTTCAATACCAGTCTAGATCCCACTTGTTGGCGATTGCGAATCTACCTTACTTCCTTAACGCTGTATACCAAATTTGTGTGGTTGGAGAATTCCTATTGCTCTCGATAACCTGAGTACCTACATGCATACCCACTTCAGTGGAGGGGGAAAAATGACATTTTTAAGTTGATTTTATTGTCAGGTGTCTCTTTTTTTACTAATAATGTTGCAGTTGTTTTTACTGCCAGCTATGTCATGTCATAATTAGGGTCCGGTCACTGCTTCGCTCAGCGTCCGGTCCTGGTGTTACTGAGCACCGGTGCGTCCGGTCACTCATAGAGCTACATCCGGTCACATCTGTCGGGCTCGTTTCTTCGCGATCTTACGTTCGGCTTGGTTTCAATCTTCGTGCTTAGACTTTGCTTGACTTTGTATGTCTTCTATGCATCTTCACATGTCTTTCTTAAGGTGTTGATCATCGGATCATCACGTCGTCTTCGTCCAAATCACATCTTGCACCATATTGAACTACAAAACAATCACTTACAAATTCATTAGTCCAATTTGGTTATGTTGGTTATCAAACACCAAAATCCAAAGTAAATGAGCCTAGGGTTTATTTTCCTTCTAGTATTTATGTGATGTTCTTTGATGAATTTTAGGTTGTTTTCCTTTATTTCCTCTATTACTTTTGATTATATCTTTTTTATTTCATTTTTTATATTTTTATTTGTTTTATTTATCTCTCACGTAGTTTTTTTTTCTATATATTCCATGAGATGTCACACAATCGCATGCACGGTCGTGTAGCCCATTTACACGCCGTGCAAATGCTAGCCATGTCCGTTTAATTAGCTATTTATTTTGTTTAATCACCTTTTGTTTGGATCCCCACATCTAAAGTTTAGAGCTCTAAAATCTTTAGAGCACTTTAGCTCACTTTTGAGGTCTAAAGTTTTAATGTGAGTTGGGCTAAAATTTAGAGCTAACTTTAGACCATATGTTTGGAACTTTAGCTCTAAAGTTTAGAGGAGAGAATCCACACAGGCCCTAACGCTTTTAAATGGCAGTTTAGCCCAAATAAATAGCTAAACGATAGATGCGGTCGTGTCCTTCCTTCCCGTGTAGGGCGAGATTCGGCGGTGGGGGGCGGTCGAGAAGAGGCCTGCAGAGCGCCACACTGCAGCTGCTAGTGGCACGCGACCGTGCCCATTGCTTGGCAGTCAATGAGGTCAGTGAGTCAGGCGCCGATGGCGCCACAGCCGAGGGTCATGACAATGAGCCGACACACAGACAGTCGTGTGTCGGGGAAGGAGCCCACGCGCAAGGTGGAGCCGGCGAAGGTAGCCCAACTTTTTTTTTCGAAAGAGAAGAAAATGGGACACGGGGATGTGAGTCGAACCCTGGCCGCCCGAGCATCGCGCGGTGTGGGGCGGGTGCGGGTGAGGAGAGTTGAAGCCTAGAGAGATTTGAGAAGAACTATCATGACCACATGATTGGGTTGAAGCATTTGAGGGTGGTTTTAGGCCCTTGATTTAACTATTCGCTTGAACTATTTCAGCAGTATTTTTCAGCTAACGAACAATATTTATCTCTCACAACGAATCAATATCAGCATAAGCCAAATTTTAGTGAAACTCTGGGTACAATTTTTTGTGTGTATATAATGGTTAGACTTTTTCAACGAGGGACACGACATGGGGTGTACCGAGCGTTGTTTATAGTAGAGATTGAGAAATATGTTTCTCTTCATAGTCCATTTTAATCATGAGAATAATTTTCTTATTAATCATTATATATATATATATTCTATTACGAAAAATATTCCGCAAAGAGAGGGAAAATGTTCTAGCAGCACAAGAACAGAGGTTGTATTATCCGGGCCGAAGTCCTGCTTTTTTGGACAGTTCGTGTCGACCCATTCCGTTCAAGTTCAATCCACAACAGAGTTTTATGGGCCAGCTGCATTGCTGAACCGTCTTCAGTCCGGCCTGCGGCGCAGTTCACGGCCACGGCCCACGGAGGACGGATCGGAGGCGGAGCCGTGCGCTTCCACTCGCGGCGCGGAAAATCAGAACGGCGGCGGCGGCGAGGTTTCTCGGAGCGCCCGTGCGTCGATGCGTCACGCCTCCCCGTACTCGTGCGCCGTCTTCGAGCGCCTGAAGCACTTCCCATTCGCGCGCCGCCTCTTCCAGCTGCACGCGCTCCTCCCCTGCCCTCCGCAAGAACCCCAATGCTCCGCCGCAGCCACCAGCGCCTTCCCCTACAACCGCCTCGCCCACGCGCACGTGCGCGTCCTCTCTGCTCCGGGCGCTCCACGCGCATTCGTCGCCTGCTCGCTCGTGATCGCCTACGGAAATGTGAAGCTTGCTGTAGTGATTGTACAGAAACTGATGGCTCTTGACCCAGCAATCACGTATTCACGTAAGTATGTGACTATTATGAATTTCTAATTAGAAGATGGGAATTGGCAGGCTGACGTGAGAATGGGCAACAGGCGAGGTGATGCTGTAGGCTGGAATCAAGAAGGCAGCAGCGCAGAGCAGTGCTGTGTTTCACACTTTCACAGTGCTTCCCTCCATCCCTTCATAACTGTTCTTAAGTTGGGAAACCTTATCGTTGGCAACAGGGACCTCAAGGATTCTGACAGATGTCTCCACAGTATCAGTCCTTTTGAGTTCTGAAGAATAAGAGAGATATACTGCTATATTGAGATAACAAAGAATCAGACTGCCATTCGGTGGATCAGATTGCCTGCAGGAATGAGTTTATTGGATGACATCATGCCAAGTGTGCTATCATGCCTTCACTGTCTAAAGGTACCATTATATTACTTGTGCTCAAGTTAATGATGATGTTCCGGAAATTAATTGCAAACTCCGTTTACATATCTACTCTACTGGAACAGAATGGTGTGAAGATAGACTTTGAGGAACCTCATCTTTATCCACTGTCACAATTTCAGTCATATCGCATTCACACCACAATCTATGATGTGCTTGCAGCAGACAGTCAGATGCAATCCGAGATGCCTTGATGTGAGCGTGTGAGTTCCAAGGCCAAGCATTGTGACTCTAGTTCAGGTAGAAGCCAACCAGTAAGCATCACAAATCGCACACTTCATGCCATGTATTTTTCTTCACATGCTCAATCAAACAACCTTCTTCTATAGCACATAACTGAATACATCTCTAGACTGCAATAATTGCAAATAAAGAACAAATGGTTGAAACCGACTTTTATTTTGTGCTTAAAATATACTGAAGGAACCACATGATTACATCGACTGGCCATTTGCCTATTTGTCACAAGTGCTAGAGTGGGTGTATAAATCGTCGACGGGATATGTGCACCAGGTATTTGAACTAGTAATCAGTAACTTTGTCATTTTTTCCTTTTGGCATGGACATATACCACCCCTATTTTTATACAATTCCTAAACAGTATGTTCCTTTTTGCTGTCTGTCTGCTAAAAAAAGTGGTGAACTCACAAGATGGATCCAGATATTCATAAGCAAACTGCCTGCAATATTATACACACATAAGGCGTTATATCTAGTTGCGTGCTTTCAGCGATATATTAGACATATCAACTCAAATGTCAGAAGTTTGTAAGCATTGAATCATTTTCAAAATAGTATGTTGCAGAACAACAAAACAACAGTAATGCATTTTCCCAAGCAAGTTGGGGTAGGCTAAACCCAACATGAGCCACCAGACGCTGCCAATGGATCCTGCAAGCTGGAAGGGGAGCGGAGCTCTGGAAAACTGCAGCGCCGCAGAAGGCCAAATTCTTATTTTGGTTATCGGTGCACAGAGCAGACTATGGATGGCAGAATGGCGACACAGACAGCAGGATGATAACCTTTGTGCGCTCTGTGCACACGGTGTCGAGACGGCGGATCACTTGCTTGCAGGCTGCGTATTCTCCAGAGAACTCTGGACCAGGGTCCTCCATGGTGTTCAGTTGGCCGTGTCGGTGCCGTCGATGGATGTTCAGTTAGTCTGCTGGTGGTTAGCCTGTAATGAGCGATTGAGCAGCGAAGTCAGGAAGGGCTTCGATAGCGTTGTCCTGAGGTTCCAATTTCCATGTAGCACCCAGCCTCTGTAAGGAAAATAATGGAATGCTAAAGAATGTAGCATAAATTTGATTAAATGAACCTACATCAACTCATTTCTTGCATACAGTTTATATATCCTAATCCAGTATGTTGAGATCCTGGATCTAGAGAAACTTTTTTTTTCCGAATAAATATGTAAAGAAAAGCTTGGAATATTTTGACATGTGACCAAGTTAATTTAACACCCAAATAAAGCCTAACCGAAAATGTATAACCCGTACATACAACAATTTTGAAGTCCACGCACGCACAAATGTATAACCTGTACATACAACAATTTTTATGCATTGCAAAATATAAATATACATTAAAAGGAAAACATTGCACATGGTTATCTTGCAATGTCTACCTCCAATTCCAGTTCAATTGTCTCCATGCTCTGGTATTCCGTCTCATCTGAAGGGAGATATACTGATTGCCCTTCATAATAATGGTGTGCTTGAATAGGTGTCTTTGTCACCTGCTGCATCTTGAGCCTTCTTAACATTTGTAGTCGCTCTGCAACTTTCTTCATCGTTGGCCTCTCATCTCCTTTCGGGCTCAGGCAGTGCATGACAAGTTCAGCTAGAAGTACTATCATTATTACATCATGTACTATTTCATTGTCCAAAATATCCCGGAGCTCATTATGGTGGAACATCTGTATTAAAGTATGAGATAGTGCTCTCTTCTCATTAGAGGCATCAATGTATAAAGCCTTCTTTCTTGTCATTAACTCTAAAAGAACAACCCCAAAGCTGTATACATCACTTTTATCACTTAGATGGTGACTAACAAAGCTCTCAGGGTCAATATAACCAAGAGTTCCTTGGATAAGCATAATGAAATCATTTTTGTCCATGGACTTCAGTGCTGATGCTCCAAAATCTGACACTTTTGCATTGTATTCTTCATCCAAGAGTATATTGAGGGATTTGACATCTCCATGCAGAATCGTGCGAGAAGTTGCTGAATGAATGTAGGCAAGAGCTTCTGCTGACTGTGTAGCAATCTTCAATCTAAGATCCAATGGGATTGGTGATCTGCTTTCATTGACATGAAGGAACTCAAAGAGTGTACCATTGGAAATGTACTCATACACCAACATCGGCACATCTACCTCCAAGCAGCATCCTAGTAACCTTACAATGTTCTTGTGGTTAATTTGTGATAAGATTATTATCTCATTCACAAATTCTTCTTTATGGCAACTTCTTTGTTATCATCTAAAGTTCCTCTGTAGATCATTCCATGACCACCACCTTAAGCTCTGAGTTAGCTTTTCAAAAGCATTTTGCACTTGAATCTCACCAAATCACTAGATCTAATGCATATGCAAAGTCATTTCATTTCACACCTAGTAGCACTTAGATAGCCGTTATGCACTTAATATTTCCCATCTTAATTGTACAACTACTATCCTAAACCCGACCATGCACTCTATTGCGTCTTGGCCGGTGAAAACAAAACCTTATCATATACCTTTGCCTTCAAGCTTGTTTCCACCTCTTCATCTTCTCTAAGTGTGATCTTGCTTCATTTGGTTTGATCACCTACATCTATCTCCAAGCCTTGCTCACCATCTTGGTGTGGACTTCACCTAGCTTAATCAACACTTAGAAAAAGGTTACTCCACTAGTTGTTTCAGTTACCAAAATCAAACTAGAGCTTTCAATGTTGTATTCGTTGCATTCTGGTCCGAGTCATTGGTCCGTTGTAGACATTGTTGGCCTATTCAGCACATTGTTGTGTAGTGTAGCAAGAGTTATAGTTGTCTTCAACATTGGTTAGTGGACTATCATGGGAATGTCCTCATCACCATCACCGCCGAATCAAACACTTGACCACGTGGTGATGAATATCTCATCACCACGGGATCATCCAACGGACCAGCCGTGATGAAGTATTATCACCGTCACCGCCGAATCAAACACTTTTACCAACGATGCTACCTATTGGTCATATGCCACAAACATAGAAACACTATATATTCATATACTGCTATTCGTGATTACAACATTGATCTGGAATACAAGATTTATAGCACACGTGCTGCAATAACTGGATATGATATAGTTTCAACATTCAAAGTTGTCTGTGGAGGAGGGGGTGTCTATGTGCATTATAGACCAATCCATGCTTCTTTTCCATTAAGAAGATCAAATAATTTCACATGAATACATGCAACGTGGTGTTGATGACTGTATCAGCGAGCAATCTGTACATCTTCTCTGTGGGATGGATTGCATCAAAGAACACATACTTGTTGGCATTTTCGCATAGCGTTGAGGTGCTGAAGCTGCAAAAGTAACCTGCCTCAAAAAGCCCCGTACCGCAACAACCTTGCACAGCATTGTCAAATCCTGTGCAATCGATAATAAAAAAAAATGAAACTATGATTAGAACTTTTTGCACATGCTGTCTTATTCCCATTTATAATATATATACATAGGATTAAAAAATAATTAGTTATTTTTGTAGTTTTTGCAGCATATACATCAACATATATATCTATCTATATCTCTTATAAAGCTAATTTCCACTACAGGTTATATCTCAACATGCAAGTCATCCACGTCATCTTCCACTAACTATCCACACAACTTTCACTAATAGTCATATCATCCCACTAGCTTCCAACATCTTAATGCAAACCAATTTTGATAAGAATAAGAATGGATGTAAGAATATGTCCCCTTCCCTCTCTCTCTCGGCATTCGCAGGCTCCGGGCTGGCCCGGTGAGCTTTTGGGCCCATGCTTTTTGGGCTGGTATGGCCGGAAAATCGGCCCGGAGGGCCGTGCCTGGGCCATTGGCTAGGCACGATGCCCAAGGAGGCACGACCCGGCAGCACACCGGGCCTTGTCGTGCCATGCCTGGCACGGGCCCGTGCCGTGCCGGGCCAGGCGGCCCTGCTCATTTTTATCTAAGTGCGCTAGAACAATGCATTCTATTGTTGTGGGTGAGATATTTGTAGTTGTGGGTTTGTAGGTGGGTTTAGGCAGTGGAGCTCACGTGTTATGTTTGTGGGACGAGTTTTACGACGAACGAGCCCAAATAGTTATTCTTTGTTTCTAAGTTTGCAATTAAGGTCATCTCCAATGGTCAATTCTAAACTAATATTAGATGTTAAGTAGAGGAAAAAGAGACCAAAACCTTTGTGCTAGCAGGAGAGGCCAAAACTAGTATTAGAATAGTTATCTCTCTCATGCCAAAACCTTTGTGTCCTTGTAGATAAAAGATATTACTTCTCTATTTCTCTAGACATGAAAGAGAATATATAAATAACCAACATCTTATATGTGGAGTATAGGATGGTACGACATTTAATAGTGGGTACATAATAACTGTTATTATTATTAGATTAGTGGTGACATTTTATGTTAATTGTTATACTGTCTCTGTTCTAAAAGGAGTGCCGCTACAGGGTTCATACCGGTCAAAATTTTTTAAATGTAACTAGATTTAAGAAAATATTAGCAACATCTATATCTCTGAATAAGTTTGTTATAATATATTCAGCGATTGCATGGGTATCTTGTGAGCAAGAATGAATGGACTAGCTAGCCCGCGCGGTGCATGGGTTGCTCACCATAGTCGGCCGGCTTCTTGACGACGTTGGCGAGGATCTGGTACGTGTCGGCGAAGACGAGCTGCAGTCCCAGCAGTTCCTCGTTGAGCTTGACGACGAGCTTCTGCAGCTTGGCGTTGAAGGTCCTGGCAACAGCGTTGTACCGCTCGTTGCACTCCCCGGGGTCGCCACGGTTGCCGATCCGCTCGGCGGGGAGGCAGCCCATGGGCGTGAGCCCCGTGAAGTCCATCTTGCGGCCGCCGAGCGTGTGCACGCGGCGGATGGCGGCCTCGGCGAGTCCCAGCAGGTAGGCCTCGTACTCGCCCACCGTGTACTGCATCCTCCGCTGGGGTAAGTTGTAGTAGTTCTCGATGAAGTCGTTGGTGCCGATGCTCCAGATGTAGAGCGCTTCGCTGATGATCTCCTTGGCCGCCGCCTCGCCCTTGGCGATCTTGAGGCGGTCCGTGTACTCGTTGAAGTAGGCGAGCTGCTCACCCAGCGTGAGCACGGACTGCCGGCCGGCGGCCATTTTGGATTATACATGCCATTTTCGATCACCGATCGAGGAGAAATAAAGCTAGAAGAAGGAAAGGTTAATTAGTAGTTAATTACCAAGACGCCGGCCGTGGCGTTGTCGAGGCCTGTGGCAGCGGAGGCGAAGGAGACTCCAGTGGCGAGCTGGTCGATGGTGCATTTTTCGTCGAGGTAGGCGGGGATGGAGGGCGGCAGGCCGAAGGCCTCGGAGATGAAGTCGGTAGCGAGGCGTCCATTGGAGAACCGGCCCGTGGGGAGGCCATTGGCGTAGTCGCGGCCGTACGGCCAGAAGTTGCTCCGCGCGATGGTCGGGATGAAATTGTTGTTGCCGGTGTCCACGGAAGAGTCGCCGAACACGATGATTGCCGGCACCTTCTTCCCGGCCACCGCACCTCCTCGTCCTCCGTGCAGCAACAACAAGATCAAGCACGGCAAGTACCTCTGGAATGACGACATTGCCGGTCGGTGCTGCGGCCACTCCCGGCCGGAGATAAGAAAAGGGGTGGGGGAGGAGGAAACCAAGATCGATCGCAAAGAGCTTGAAGAAGGCAACGGTTTGGTGCTAGGTGCATTACTCCGTAGCAGAGATATAAAGCAAGGTTGTTGATTGTTTTGTCTGGATGAATTATTAGCTGATTGATAAGGGCCCTTCAGCGGCGATAACATGTACTAGCACTAATTGCGCCGTAAGTGTTCGTGTGATGATGATGGCGTTAGGAATTGAATAGGTAAGAGGGTCATGCAGGAGAGAGCGAGAGAGAAGCTTCTACTCAGCTGCATGTGAGGCGCGCTTAAGACCGCATTCAATAGCCCCTAGCTCACTGCCTGACTTTACGGGAAGGACAGCCGCTGCACGTACGGTAAGACAAATCTACGAGGCAGGTGTCATCGGGAGTTTCGTATAAGCTAGTTTCTAGAACTCTCGTATGTTTAAAATAGTAGTATAGATAAATTTGGTCTTCGCGAAACTCATTTCATTTTATATAAAACTTTTAATTCTCTTTATCTTATATACTATGCCATATCAGCTCATTTCATTTCATATAAAACTTTTAACATATATCTTTATCTATATACTATATCTTATCATCTCATGCATGAAACTCCCAAGAAACCCCCACTGATATTAGCCTGTTCGATCGTAGAATAATTTATTCTATAACAATCTCGATTACGATAATATAGATATTTATTTACAATAATAATTTATTCTATAACCATCTCGATTTACGAAAATATAGATATTTATTTACGATGAAATGGTTACATATTTATGTTTATGTTCATGTGTTACTATAATTAATGATGATATTTATCACAATGTTATAGTAAATTACTAAGAGGAGTTGCAGTGATCTCATAAATTAGTAGAATCACTAGTGTATTGCCCGTGTTAACACTATAGGCCACATTAAGTAACTTTCTATATACGCACAAATTCTAACTATAAAAGGAAAATATGTGAGATTAATTTTCACAGATTCAAGTAGTCCACATCTTTAAGTGTATCATGTTCAGCATCAATGTATTCCAAATGCGCTGTAGGTAGAACAGTCACAGCAAGAAGTTACGTTGGAGCATAAATTCATTCAATGTATAAACACCATGGAGCTGTTGGATTTGCCAGTGTATTCCATAGGAGTAATAAATAGGCTATACATATGCAGGAAGACCAAGGAAAATGGCCGGTCAATCCACAAGGCATCATGCAAGGACCGGTCAATTAATCTCATAAAGCATGAAGTCATTTGCACCTCCAAGTATCATGGAGACCTGCACAGCAGGAAACCATGCCCTATGTAATTATCTCCAAATTAAATTTGTTGCTTTTGTAGCAAACTTGCTTAAAATTGGTATGGAAAAGGTACAAACCGCGCTGGTGTTCTTTGTGCCTTTGACCAGAATAACATCATCGTTAGTGATTCTTTCGTGCACAACTTCATCAGCATGCATGTCCAAGGAATGATGAATCAAATGTTTCCTCAGCCTCCATGTCCGCAAAAGTAGTCACTCTACACCACAGCCTCCGGTATAAGCCCTTTTAGCGTCAGACGGTCTGTCGGTATAGAGATATACTGTTGGACCAAGTCAGACGGAGTAAACCCTGTTGTAAAAAGCTATACCGACAGACTGACCTTTTGCCGACAAATAGTTCGATGGAGAAAAATGCCGGCTGACAGTCCATTACCATTTATACCGACAGACCATGCGATGTTATACATACATTTAACGATAGGTTGTCCAACGAGACAGTTAAAATTGATAAAAAAATAAAATCCAATTTAGCAGAATCATTACATATTAAATCTGAACTTATGACTAATTGAAGATCCATCATATCACATTCACCTTCAAAAAATTAGTCACCAAATACATGAATCTCCATATAGAACTGACCTGTAGCAGAGCGAAATTGCCCTGTAGGGTGGTTTGTTTCTGTGTCTTTTAATTATGGCATGAGTCTCATAAATGGATCAAAGTGAATTGGCCCCGATTCAATTTCGGAATGATGATACTTTTCAAACAACTTGTGGATAATAATAACTCCAATGGACATGGGTCTGTGTAGTTGGTGCTAGAATGACATCAATTGTGAACAAGACAGACTCTTTTGAAGTCATCATCTAGAGTTTTTCATGTAGAAATCTTTTATTCCAGCCTGCTTAGCTCGAGCTTGTGTGTTGCATCGGCATACCTCTTATACAATTCAGTGTCCACAATTTTCTCTTCACTCTGCATTGTTTCCTTTACATATTTGCCTACATCATAGCCTTCAATCAGTAGTCCCGTTATATTACTGTAATATTTTGATCACATATATTGAAACTTTGGTTACTGACTTGGTATGCGTCTGCAAGCTCCAGTATCATGTTTCTCCTGATACATGTCTCTGGCATATGAAGCAGCCCCCAAGTCCCATAGCCTCAATAGCATCCTTGTGTGGTTGCTTTATACCTTGTAGGGCTTTTGCAAATCTCACAGGTGAGTGTGTTAAATGAATAGACGCATTCCGCAACAACTAATTGGTCGATGATAAGTTGCTAAAAATGTAGAGGCAACTTACACAAAAACTGGAACTAGAAATGGAGATTACCTGCTTGTTGGTCCCATCTCGCTTTTTTAGTACTACCATTGGTACCATTGGCATCTGCATCAAATTATGTGAATAAGAAATGTTAAAGTTGCCGAGAGAAGTAGTTTTTACTATGCTTAAACATGGAACCGCGACGGGCGTGCATGAGGATGATGAGATCCAAACATAGGGGTATGTTAAACCACCGAGGCAAGGGGTTCCCGACCGAAGGACCCCCTGACCGATCCCTCTAGGATTACCCGGGGGCTCGGGGGCTTCACCCCTCAGGTGAGCTCGCACGCACCTTCCAGCTAAGGACTGGCCAAGCCTGAGCATGCCCTCCGCCTCTGCTCAAGGGCTCACTCGAGCCTCAGGCTCCCGATTGACATGAGTCTAAACCCGATCCTTGGCCTCGGCCTTCAGCGCTAGCTAAGGCCCGGGCTGGAGACAAGCGCCCCGAGCATCCACGGCTCGGGGCTCCCTAGCGTTGCCCAGCAGGCGTGGCGCTGTCAACCACTCCTCTGATAGGGTCACGCACGGGGCGTGACACAAGGGGACAAACCCCTCCACTGGCTTCAGGCGATCGAGGGCTTCTGGGCCCGCTTATCAGCCCCTCAAGTTGTATGCCTTTGCCACCAAGAAGCCTTTGGAAGGCGCACCTGGTGGAGGCCGGTCCAAGCCGACAGAGCCCGACACTCAGCGTGTCAGAACAGAGAAGCCGGACGATGCCCAGGGATTCTTTGACTCCACGACAATGCCAAGGTTCATCGACGCCACTGCAAGGCCCTCCTGGACTTCGGCGCACGTAGGCCATAGGCTAAACCCCCAAACCGCCATGTACCTGACCTACCTTGACATATAAGGGGAGGTCGGATCCTACAGAGGGGGAGGACGATTCCAAACAGAATAGATCGGAACAACTCGAGCTCTGCACCGAGAGAGTACCGAGAGCTCCTCCACCCTTTCCATCGTCTTCCTCCTCTCTGACGAGGAGGAGACCTCATCGCTGACGAGCCAAAGATCAGCACTGAGCGATGCTCTACCAAATCTCTCTCTTACACTCTATTGTAATCCCCCGATTTGGGTGCTCTTGAATAAAGATCCTCAAACTGTTGGACGTAGGGCCCCGATAGCCCGAACCAGGATAAACCTCTGTGTCCCTTGCGTGATCTTTGAGTTCTTCTGTGTTCTTGAGTGTCTACCCAAGCTACCGGAGACATCACACTCAGTGACATCCGACTGACAACAATGCTTGCCGCGGTTTCAACCTCGCGACAGACGGGTTCTCTTTTTTCTATTTTAGATTGCTTATGGCGGCACTAGATCGATGGAACCGCAACTACAGGAATTAGGTTGTGACAACTGGCATGAAATTGGATATTTGTTGTTTGATTTGCTACTGCTACATACATAATACATATAGGCTGTGCTGTAATTTGTCTATTCATTTTACTTCTTTTGCGTAGCATGCATTCTTAGTCTATTCGTTTTACTTCTTTTGCGTAGTATGCATTCTTATTTGTATTGATCAGTAACTGCACTATGTGGGCTGAGCAGGAGAAAACGAAATTTGAGATGGTAGGAATTTGCCTTGGATTTATTTTTATGTCCCTGTTTTGTATGCATATGGTGGTCAAAATTCAGGTGCTAATTCAGGTGTGCGGGGAGTTTAAATGGGACTTCTCACTAATTCAGGTGTTGTTAGCTCATCGAGTCGTTTTATTAATGTTTCAGAAATGGTTTGTAAAGTATTTTGCTTTTTGGTTGGGTGTATGAGAACACTAGCTATTGTGTGACCAATAGACTGTTTGATGGAAACAAAAATGAGGTAGCTAGGTTGACTCAGGGTAACCTGTAACCGTCTGAGATGGGAATGAGGAACTTTCATCTGGTTTAGCCATTTAGGGGACATACTGACAAACTGTAGTGATGCTTGAGTTTGTAGCATAAAGAATGGATGTTGGAGTCAGGATTGAATTTGATGATGCCCTTACAAATAATATTAAGAGCATAAAGAATGGAGGTTGGATTCAGGATGTTCTGAAATTTCAGCCTCTTTTGCATAACTATCCATCAACTTTAAGATAATTCATCAAGTATGGGCCAATGTCCTTGAAATATTTAGATTTATTAGGACGTCTTATTAAGCCTTTGATTTGTGTGAATTAATAATACTAAGACATGGATATTATCCAGTTTCTTCAGCATGACTGCTTGCAGTGGGACCTCCGTAGCAGGTTGTTGTATTTAAATTATATGATGTATAATTTAGTTGGTTCAATTATATGAATGTATAATTTAGTTGGTTCCTGGCTCTGCAAAATTCCTTCTTTCTTATCATCAGTGCGATTTCTAAGACCTGTTTTGTTACTCTATGCTCTAT